TTTTACATGCACGAGGTGAATTGGACTTTTACAAACACCATAGAATCGTGTTACAAAAGTAAAAAAAATTCAAGACTTATTTACGTGCATTCTGAGTTAGTCGACCCCAACAATATAGGAGATAAAGGCACTAATTATTTAAAACTCGTCACGTACACTCCAACACTCAAAGGATACGATTATTATGAGCCTTCGCACTAGACTACATTCCCTTGAGAACTCATCGCATCAAAACCATTCATACGGATCTTCGCGAATTTCCTGACGAATTATTTGCAGTTTGAAGAGGGTGGCAGCTGTTTTCTCGTTCTACATTTTCGTCGAATTTTTTATCCTCGCATTTTAAAAGAGGCGTCGACGGACGATTGTCAAGCGTAAACAATGGAAGAATTTCAACTGGTATTACCGAGTCGTGATAAAAGCATTCAATATTTTCCACAAAATAAGAACAACTCGTGGAAAAGTAGACTACCCAAACAGCTACAATTGGAAGGTACTTGGCACGTGGCTCTTTCTGGAATTAGTATACCTGCGGAAAATATTTTTACACAATGGTATACCACTCTTAACAGCGATGATCTATTGTTACGCACCCAGCGAGTGAAATGGAACATGCAACAAAGGCGGGCAGTTTTCATTTCAACGGAGGTGTTTTTGAGCGATTTAATTACCACTCACAGCTCAAGTCTTAAAGAAATTCCAACAGTTTTTGATTTTTTACAAGCTATTTTTAACATAGAATACGATAAATTTCTTGCGAATCTACCGTACGAACGAAGTTTAAACTACGATGAACAGACCCGACACAATACAGAGGAGAATTTGATGTCGTGAATGAAACCGTCACGGTAAATACCGGTGTCATTGATGAGGATATAGCAGCTAATAGGGCACGTGCTATAAACTTTTGGTTACGAGAAGATTTTTGTAGAGCTTTTAATTTTATCGAAGATACTAGATTTACGCCTTACAATTCTTCTACGGATAAAATGAAAAATGGTCCTAACTTAAAATACACAAAACGCGGTGTAAAATTTCTCGGAGATAGGAGTACGTCATTTTATCAGTTTCGGTATTATCAAATGGCCAACCATACCTATACTAAAGATGTAGCGGGACAGGATATGACTAAAGCTGCCGCAGGAATTCTTTTTTATTGCCACGAAGTTAATTTCATTTTCTTAAACACCAAATGACTGTGCTACAAAAACGGAAGCGGCACTAGAATGCTGCAAGTCTATTCCAGTTGAGGGGAACCGGTGCGCATTGGTGATCAAATCACCGATTTGTTAGCCATGATTCCGCATACGCCTAGACTATCCGGTACTAGTTATTACGAGCCTCCTCTCCTTCAATATGTGCCTTTAAGAAATAATACGATTTCTGTCATCGAAATAGAAGTGGGTGAAAGTGCCGAAAATATGTTAGCGCAGTTTACGGATGTGGGGGATACCATTGTCACTCTCACATTCAAACGAGTCAAATAAAACAATATTTATTACATCATGCTTACAGTTTTCTATCCCCTTGGGGTTTTTCATCCTCTGTATTGGCCTTGTGACTACTCGATCTTTTTACAATGCAAAGTCAATATGCCTTTTTTAAAAAAGATATCTTGTTTGCTGAGTTGTTTTTCCGCGAAATTGATTGATGGAGGGCGCAGTTGTTTTATTGTTTTTTCTTTCTAAAATGAAGCGAGACGGTAGAAGGACCCTCGTCGAACTGTGTCAATGAGTTGGTGCTCGTTTCACTTATTTGAATTTCCGTCACACACAGAACGTGTAATTCCGTAATGGGATGTAATGAATCTTTGGTGGTACGTAAAAAAAGCTTCCATGTAATTGAGGATGATACGGTAGTTGTAATAACAAATCGGTTCTTTGTGAACCTATAGTGACTGGATCTCCTATAGAGGAATACGCATAAAGGGTTCTGGATGCCGATGTCCCTCGTTTATAAGCAGACCGTTTTGTATTTATAAACGTCCACACGAGCTCGTGAAGATAAAATTTAATCATCTCTCCATTTTCTTCCATACTCCAATATCTCTTCGCTATTTTCTGGTCTGATCTGGATTCAACCCATACGCTACCGCGTTTTCTAAACGCTAGATCCTCTGCATTTTTAACAGTGACGACATTAAACCACGCTTTTGGTTGTACCCATCCCAATAAAATGCAGAAATCTTTACGAAGCTCAAAGTACACGTTATCACGAACATCGTTGTTAGAAAGAGTATCTGGAGTTATCTTCTCTGCGGATACCGTACAGGTTTCTAGAACGTCGTCAAAAGAGACATCGAATTGAAGGTTGGGAAATTTTCCCGTTGGCATTTCATTTGCAAGCACACCAGCTCTACCCAATTCTAAAATAAACTTTTCACGTTCCACCTCGAATAAGGCTCTGAGAAGATCGTGAGGTGTGTCGAGGGGTTTGTCTTTGATATCGCTGAGATGCACGTATGTAGTGATGACTTCAAGCTGTTGCGTGACAACCACGTACACTCGACGTTTGGAGGTGAGTAGTCTAGTGGCATCTGGGGTGTTATTGAGGTATTTTTTCATTCGAGATTCGTGCGCAAGTGAAATACTTGACATACCCACTTCCCAATCTTTATCTAATAGAATGAGGGACGAAAGACGATTTTTCTAAGAATTGGAGATATTTTCTGGGAAATACTTGATACTGACATCGTTACTCGCAAGGGTTAAATAAAAGGAATTCATTGCGTCTTCAATAAAGTCACAGACAAAATGATACCTTTTCAACACACTTTATTTTTTTATATGACATTCCAGCTTATTTTTTACACACAGTATATGCTTTATCAAATACTTTTTACTCACATCGTTACTCGGCAATGTTAAACAAAACTCTTCCGGTGAATTATCCTCAACTTCCATCTTGATTTTCACTTTGGTTTTCAAATTGTTTTATATGCGCTTTATAGGCTCGCACTCTTTCAGCCCAAAATGCCACTGATTCTTCATGCGTCATCGTTGGAGGAGGCAAGGGTTCTTCTTTACGCGGTACATACCACCATTTACTTTCATGTTCTTTTTCTTCCGTTCTAACCACAGGCGCTCTTTCTCTAAACGTTCTTTTCGCTCTCGCTCTGTTTCCATGTTGTGTGATGTGTGCATCCAAAAGACGAAATGATATTTAGTCTGAAAGTTCAGCCTCTTTATCCCAATCGTGACTGTCAAATATGTGCTCCACGAAATTATAAATAGAATTCATGATTTCGTTCCTGTGTAATTGAAATGTTTCGTCCTATGTAAATTTTTCGTTTGGATATGTTTCCTTTGAATCTCTAATCACCTTATCGCATCATTCTTCTTAAAGAATCCTCATCGGCGAAGGAAAAGATATCCAAAATACTTTCTATCTCCACCACAGATACTTTTGGATTGTCCACAGTTTTAAACTGTCTATCTACCACATTCATTGCCATCCTTCGCGTCTGAAAGTTTACGTTGGAATACCACTTTTGTATATTCGACGACGGCTTTAAATATCTTATTTCTCTTTTCAACTATTTCGTGCGTTTGGTAGTCCGATAGCGCTTCTTCCGCGTCTTGAAGGCAGAAATCTCCTCTGTTTAAAACTCGCTGTAATGTATCAGTGTCAGCAAATCTAGCAATGCTTTCCAAGATCTCGTGAATGTAGTAACTGAGAGCAGGCTCGGGGTGGATCATCATTTAACTAAAAAACTATTCCGAATATGTAAATGATGTCTCATTATAATGCACAAAAATAGCTTTCCATGCTCTATGAAGCGTCACCGTACGACCACATTTTCGGTAACGTTCCGGTGACGAAAGGTTCAAGTTCAAATCCTGGTCGCATTACTTTATCAAACAGAAGGCTGCGTTCTTTTCCGGATCCGAAGCCCCCCCGAGGAAAAGAAGAAGAGAGGGAGAAAGATAAAAATCCAATTTTTTGTCGAGTCAGTGAAAGTACATTTATTCCGACTATGTAAAATAATGTCTCATTTAAAAAAATGCACATAAATAGATTTCCATGTTCTATCAAGTATGAAATGACAATTTTCTTTCATACGCATGCGTAAAGTTTTTGAGCATGCGCAGACAATATCATCCATCCCTCATGGATGGGACTCCCATGACGGTTTCATATATATGTACTCAAACCGACATTTACTCTTAATAACCAAGGCATCTGCCGATTACGTTTACACCAGTTATAATCCGTGAGAGGGTGATGACCTCACACACACACACACCCAAAACTTCGGCTACTCAATCTTCGGCTCTACTTCGGCTACTCGTTACCAATTTGGCCGCACCATTTTTTAATTTATTTACAAATCGGACCCAGGTCCCGCGGGTCGTCTGTGGTAGACGTGGTATACTACTGGCAAAACTTGGCGACTGGCCGTTTGAATGTCCCTTGTTTCGTCTGAACTTCGACAGTGCGAGTGAGGCCATCATCTCCTGGGCATGTCTTGACGACTCGGCCAAGATTCTATCGACCACGGGGTAAATTTTCCTAGTACCACGTATCCAATTTGGGCATCAGTTTGAGGTCTGGTTCTCCACTTCCTCCGCTGAATAAGTGCGGGCACGTCCTCACGTAACTCACGTAACCATCTTCTCCAGAAATGGTCGGTTAGCGTTTAGGCTTGTCTCTACCGCTTTCTGGAATTCAAATCTCTCTCATCAAAGACATCGGGAGGTACGTTTGGGCTGTTCCTTCCAATGACGAAATGACTAGGAGTGATTGCTTCAAGGTCCTGAGGATCAACGCTGACGTGAGTTAGCGGTCGGCTGTTGAGCAGACTCTGAACCTCAGCCATTAATGTGAGCAAGGTTTCATAATTCCCCAGCTGCCCGTTGAGGGTGATCTTCAGAGCTCTCTTTGGTGATTTAACGAGTCTCTCCCAGACTCCCCCGAAATGAGGAGCTGAAGGAGGGTTGAAGAACCACTGGATTCTGTCGCGTGACAGAGTATCTGAGATCTTGGCCTGGTCCATTCCATCAAGGCACTCCTACAAAATTAGTCCCGTTGTCGCTGTAGATGTTTCTGGGTTTTCCTCTTCTAGCCATCATTCTTCTCAGCGCCATGATAAAGCTGTCTGTCTCGAGTGAGGGAGCAATTTCTAGGTGTACTGCCCTTGTCACCAGGCAGGTGAACAGGTAACCATAGCGTTTTACTGTTGATCTTCTCTCTTTGACTGACCACGGGCCAAAATAATCCACACGAGTGTTGTAAAATGGTGGGGTGAAAGCTTGAAGTCTGCTTTGGGGCAGGCTTGTCAATCGAAAGCCATCGCTTGACAAAAGCTCAATAAGCTGGAGGGCAAGCTGAGCTGTCTTAGCCTCAGAGGGCAGGGACTTCAAGAGGTCATACATGTAGAAATCTCTTAGGACTGTACTGGTAGCTTCTTCACTGCTTGTGTTTTGGTTATCAACGGCGGTTCTCTTCAAACAATAATTCGCAGAGGTTGGACTCAACTTTGCACCAAAGATCATGGCCTGCATTTGGTAGACGCTCGGGGTATGATCTCTATTTGGACCTCTCCAAAGGAATCTTAGAGATGCCTGGTCTTTCTCGATAACTCGTACCTGAAAGAACATTGCTTCAATGTCCGCGATCATGGCAACAGCATGTAGTCGGAACCTCATGATAACACCTACGAGAGGGTTCAGCAGGTCGGGACCTGTCACCAATTGATCATTCAACGAGGTTCCCTTGTATGAGGCTGCAGCGTCAAACACTACGCGAACCTTTTCCGGCTTATTGGGATTTGTGACAGCATGGTGCGGCAGGTACCAAGTGTTCTTGGGTTCCTTGGCAACAATCTCGGTGGGAGATGACTTTCTGGCATAGGCCTTGGCAGTATAGGTATCAACTGTGTGATAGTAAGCTTTAGCTCTTTCACTGTCTTTATCCAAGCTTCGCTCTAGATTTGTAAGTCTTTTTTCTGCTAGGGGACGATTGCTCAGGAGCATGACTTTTTCATCCTTCCACAGGAGACCAGTCTCATAATGGCCGAGGTCAGATCGAAAGTTGGAAGCATCTTCTAAACGTTTGAGAGTTCTTTCGTGACTCTGTAGTGTCACATTTGAACTTGGTGCCAAATGACTCTGTCTTCCCCCAGTTTTCAACTTCTTCATTCAAGGTGGTACCTGAGGTAGCACAGTGTCCAACAAAGCCTAAGCTTGTTGTCGGGGAAGGAACTCCTCCCGCTAAACCAGCAATCGTCCATCCCAAAGTCAGTTCGCACAGCTTATGGTTGGCCCTTTGGACCACGTCTGTGTTCATGTTGAATTATGGCTTCTGTAACTTGCACTCCAATAAGTAGGCCTATCTGATAAGAAGACACAGTAGGGATGTCTCGATCTTCAAGGTGTTTCCAGGTTCTTCTGAAGTTTTCCTTGTCAAGTCTCTGTGGAGGGACATTTAATCTGGGGACTGTCCACACAGGATGGATGTTAACAGGTATGTTTACAGCTTGTTTCCCCGTCGGCGTTACAAGAAGATTCACTGCTTTGGAGCACTGCGGAGTTCCATTGTTTTCAACGTTTCCCAGGCAAAGTAATCGCTCCGGTCCCTCAAGATTCAGCTTGTCGGCAGTGTCTTTTTTTATCAAGGTGTCTGAGCTGCCGTGATCCAGAAAGGCAAACGTTTCGATCATGGCCTTCCCGTTTTCACCTTGTATTTGGACCGGCACAACTTTAAAATAAACCACTCTCTCATTAGCTGCGGGGGAATTGGTGGTTGCCACCTTCGTTAGGACGTTTCCGGGGAAGAGCGGGGGCTGAGCTTGTGGGTCCTGACTAAGCGGTGGCTGAGGTGTTGCACGTTCATAGTGTAGCAGACTGTGATGATGTCTCTTACAGTTGGTAACTTGGCAATGAGTTTTGTTCAAGCATTTATCAACTTCACGTCCCTGCTTGAGACAATTGAAGCACACTTTGAAACTCTTGGCCAGCTCATAGCGCTCAAGTACAGACTTTCTTTTAAATTCATTACATTTGTAAAGTGGGTGAGGTTCATTACAGCATAGGCAGGCTGGTGACTTCGGTTTTTTATTCGTGGGTTCTTCCCCCTTTGGCTGTGGGTCGCCCGTGATGTACAGTGTAGAAGAACTCATGTGGTTTGGAGATTTACTACTGTTTTGGAGATTTACGCCTGTTAGGTGACAGACATTTTCCTGGTTCCTCGTACACCAGGTGTTGTCTTGCTCTGAAATGTTCTGAGAGCCATCGGTCAAGGTCAAACAAGTTAGGCCCTCCCTGACTTTCATGTTTCTGAACTTCCATCGCCCACTTTGATTGCAAAAGCTCAGGGAGCTTTTGAACAGCAATGTTCAAATTTGTCTCACTCAAGAGATCGGCAATGAATCTCTGTCTGTGAAGGGTGACGACAGTTGACCTAAGTGCTTGGTACAGCTTCGTAAGACGCGTATGATCTTGAGGGCGTGGGTATGGTGTGCTTAAGAGCGGTAAAGGCTGCACGCACAATCTTTCCAGAGTCAGCGAATCTTGCTTTAAGCATTCTAAGAATCAATATGTAGTTTGCACCATCTTCTCTAAGGAACTGGATTTCTGACTCTGCAGCACCAGTTAGAGTGTTCTGAAGATACGCTAAACGCTGGCTCATTGAGAAAGGGCTGATCATGCACAATGCTTTTGAGTCTTCCACTCCACGAAGGCCAGGCAGGCGGTGAGCCATCAAATTTTCCAAGGTCAAATTTGGGCAGTGAACGTACCATGGCAAAAAAGCTACAGTGGTGATGTGCTGTTAGTTGAGGGTGAGAAATGACGCCATACTCGTCAAGTTGATCTATCCAAGTATCTGGAGGGGGTCCTGGGAAGTCAGGTATCAGACCCCATCTTGGGTGTGGCTGTAATGATGTTTCTCGTAAACTGGGTCTTGGTGACACAGCTTCGTTGGGTACAGTCCACCCTCTCCAAGGGGGCCTTGGGGTAGCTGGTAAGCTAATTTGATTTGGGTTAAATGAGAGCTTCTAACATGTTACAGGAGTGGAAATTGAGTCGGTAACTGTTGTAACTGCTCCAGGATGAGTAAGAGGAGCTTTGGGTGTGGTACAACTTCTAACTGGCACAGTGGTTGGATTGCTTGTACTGGTTGTATCATGTGCTTTATTCTCAACAGTAGTTATGAGTAGCTGCTTTACTGGACTAATTCCAATTTCAATTAGCTGATGCGCAGGTGGTGGCGAGATCTGAACAACTGAGGATTGAACTACTGGGCCATCACTCCTTGAGTTGTCATGGCTAAGTAATTTGTCAACATTCTCTTTTGAAGTTTTCAAGGGTTCTGGTACTGACATTTTATCAACGTCTTTCACGAGTTTGACGTCCAACTTAGCTCTTTCGGCATAATACATCTCAATATCGTCAAAACAATCATAAACAGGGGCAAGGGCAGCCTCCACCCAATACTCTGGTTCATCGTCATCGGAATTAAGCTCAAATAAGGCTTGATTAATATTCTTTAATTGAGACACAGCTTTCTCAAGGTTTAGCTTCAATGAAACGAGTGTTTCCTTACTTAGGTGTTTGCTAATGTGACGGTTAATCTGGTTGACTAACCTCGTTACGTGTGCTTTCTTTCCACGTCGAGTTCCTCGGATTTTCCGGGTTTCTTCTTGAGCCGTGTTATCCCTTGTTCCAACAATGTAATCCCGAAAGTCCTCAGAGAGGAGAGAGGAAGCGACTCAGGTTTGGCAAGTAATCTCGGTGTTATTTTCTTCCAACTTCAAACAAGTAATCCTCAGGAAACCAGTCGGGGCCTGGTTGTTTATCCCACAGTGAACCATTTGATTCGGCCATCTCGCTCGTTTAGGACAGTATTTCCGGTGAAATATCCGTCTCGAAGGACCAAATAATGTGGCGAAGGTTATCTAAACAAAGTAAAATTTGGACAACGAGCGAAAACAGCAAAAGGTTTTAATTAGCGACTCAAAAGCTACACCAATTGCAATAACACAACAAGATGGCGGGTCTGACGAGTTTTTTCTCTAGACCGTGGGGGACTAAGTTCTATTTTGGTAGAATCCGCTGGCTAACAGGCAGTTGGCAACACAGTCAGTTATCCACCAATGGGGTCAGCAACTCAGTCAACCATTCCGATACACAGTAATTCAGTTAACCACTCAGTCAACTAGTCACTAAGTCAGTCAATCACTAATGCGTCAGCCAGGCAGCGTGCCAGATAGTCAGCCGGTGAAGTACCAGCAAGGGTGTCAGTCAGTCAGTCACAAAGCCACTCAGTCAACAAGACAGTCAGCCAGTCAGTAACCACTCAGTTAGTCAGTCCATTACGAGTCGGACAGTAAGGCGGTCAACCACTCAGTCAGTCAGCCGGTCAGGTACCAGTGATTCAGTCAACCGATCAGACAGTCAGACACTAGTCAGCCAGTAATAAGTCTGTCAGTGAGTCAATCACCCAGCCAGTCAACCAGTCAGTCAACAAGTCAGTCAACCAGTCGGTCAACCAGGAAAGAAGCGAGTCAAGTACCAGTGAATCACTGGACCAGTAAGTGAGTCAGTCAGTCACCAGTCAAATAGCCACTTGGTCACAAGTCAGTCAAGGAGTCAGTCGACCAGTCAGACAGTCAGTCAGTTAGTCACTCTTCATTTAGTAGCCATTAGGTCAGTCACTCAACCAATCAGTCAGCCAGTCACTCAGTCGGTCAGGTACCAGTGAGTCAGTCAACCAGTACGTTGGCCAGTCAGTCACCAGTCACTTAGCCACTCAGTCACCAGTCGGTCAACAACTCAGTGAACAAGTCAAATAGCCAATCAGGCACCAGTAAGTCAGTCAACAAATCAACAACATAATCACTCGCCAGTCAGTAACCAGTAATTCTTTCAATCAGTCAGCCAGCCAGCAAGTTATTGAGTCAGTGATGTAGCCAGTCAGATACTCAAGAGTCGGTCAACCAGTCAGTCCGCCAGTCAGTCAGCTGCCACTTAGCCCAGGCAGTCACCAGTCAGTTACCGTCAGCAGCCTGACAGTTTATTTATTGACAGGAAATGATTATACGAGACCCGCCCACCGCAATAAAAAGAAAATACAATCATAAGCCCCCCCCGAAGGTAACAAAGTTACAAAACATGCAAATGAGGAAAGCTACTATACAAGAAATTATTAAACATGAGAGATGGAAGAGAACTAAAAAATTGAGCGAGCTAGTGATGCACGTGAGGCGAGAACCAAGACTGATGAGTTTAGAACTTATCGAGCAATGAACGGAGGTGTGTCACTAGACTGTCAACTTTACCCAGATAAATCGGTATATATCTATATCCCTTAACAGTGCGATAGCTAGTTTGTTTTTGTTACGTCACCTTGTCCCCTGCATTTTATGGAGAGAAAATGTTGCATTTTTTCGTCATTTTATAGAAAACTTATTTTAATTTTTTCCTGTTTATTTTTATCTTTACTTTACTTTGTATCTTTATTCAATTAAGTAACTATTAATTTATTATGATTTATTATCGGTAATCATTCAATAATTTGTTGTTATTTTTTGATTTATCATTTCTCGGTCATTCCGGGAATTCCGGGTATTCTGGGTATTCCGTGTATTCCGGTTCCGAATGCCGGTATTCCATGTTCTCCAACCGGTGAGTCAAAGACTACTGGTGACTGACTGGTCGCCTGACATGGTTACCAAGTGGCTGACTGGCTTTTTTTCTGACTAACTGGTTCAGTAATTGGCTGACTGACTGGCTGACTGACTGGTTGACTGACTGGCTGACCTGCTGACTGGCGTGCTGACCAACTGGTCGACTGATTGACTGAGTGAGTGCTTGACTGACTGGCTAACTGACTGGCTGACTGGTTGACAGACTAAGGGACCTGCTGACTGACTGACTGACTGGTCGCCTGACTACCTGAATGACTTGTGACTCACCGACTACTGGTAACTGCCTGGCTGACTGATATGTTGACTGTTTCTCTGACTGATTAGTTTACCGACTGGCTGACTGACTGCTTGATTGACAGACTGACTGACTGACTTATTGAATGACTGACTGGCCTACTGACTGGTTGACTGACTGACTGACTGATCTGCTAACTGACGGGATTGACTTAGTAGTTGACTGGTGTGGTGACTGACTGGTCGACTGATTGGCTTACTGACTGGTTGACTGACTATTTGACCGACTCGTTAAGTGACTGGTCAGTGAGTCAGTCAAATAGTTTATCAGCCAAATACCGCGAGGTACTTTTCTAAAGTTGATTTCACAGGATACTTTCTAGAGTTTAGGGTTTTTCTTTTCTTCATTCTATTTTTAATTTGCTTGAATTGACTTGCCTCACCACTTGATGCCAAAGTCGTGATCAGCAACAATAATAGTGAGACCCTAAAGTCTAAGGGCGTTTATAGGTGTCAAAGAAGTCGAAAGATGATTTCTTTTTGTTTCGAACCAACACCGAATAGGAATGTTCTTAAGCTTATCCATAAAAGTTATGTATTCTGGTGTGGTTTGGTGTAGTAGGTTTAGTTACGTGTGTTAGGTGTAGTTTGGTGTAGTATGGTGTAGCATGCTCTAGTAGGTGTAGCTAAGTATGGTAGTTGTAGTTAAGTCTAGTAGTTGTAATATGGTGCGGCTTAGTGTAGTAGTAGTAGTATTTTTGTGTAGTAGGTGTACTTTCGTCTACTTTGGTGTAGTAGGTGCATTTAAAGGTAGTGGGTGTACTTTGTTGTAGTTTGGTGTGGTAGGTGTAGTTAAGTGTAGTAGATGTAGTTTAATGCCGTTTGATGTAGTAGGTGTACTTAAGTGTAGTAGGTGTAGTTTGGTGTAATAGGTGTAGTTAAGTGTCGTAGGTGAAGTAGGTGTAGTTACGTGTGTTAGGTGTAGTTTGGTGCAGTAGGTTTAGTTTGGTGTAGTATTTATAGTTTGGTGTAGTAGGTGTAGTATAGTGTACTACGTGTACTTTGGTATAGTAGGTTTACTTTGGTATACTCGGTGTAGTTCGGTGTGCTTTGGTGTAGTAGGTGTGGTTTGGTGTAGTAGGCGAAAAATACACTTACTGCACAAAACTACACTAAACTAAACAAAACTACACCAAACTACCAAAAGCTACACCTACTACTTACTACGCCAAACTACACCAAACAATAGCTATTACACCTACTACACCAAACTACGTAAAACTACACAAAACAATAGCTACTACACCAAACTATACGAGAGGACACCCACTTCACCAAAACTACACCTACCACACCAAACTTCACCTACTACACCAAACTTCACCTTTTACACTAAACTACACCTACTACACCAAAGTACATCAAACTACAAATAACACACGTAGCTACACTTACTTCACCAAGCTACAGCTACCACACTTTGCTACACCTACTAAACCAAATTACACCAAACTACACCTATTACAGTTAACTTCATCTACTACACCAGATAACACCAAACTACACCTACTACACTTAACTACTCCCATCACACCAAACTGCACCAAATTACACCCAC